CAGATTTCTGCGATTTAATTTTTACGTCCGCTGTATATACAGGGTGTCCCACATAAGTGTCGCCACTTGAAATGACCTTGAAATCTGCTCTATACGCTATTCATCTCGTCGTATAATAGCCTCGTACAGGGATCATCGTTCGCGGTGTTTTCACGGAGTAAAATGAGATGAAACGGGAGCAAGAAAGGAGGTGAAAAGGGTAAACACAACGGAGAATGCGGGCCACGGTGAAGAAGAAGAAAGCTAAACGCGGTCTCTCACGGTACTTTATGCTACTTTTCTTCCCGACAACGACGAGAAAACGTTTCTCCCCTCGCGCGGTTCGTGGGGATCGAGGCACGGCAACACCAAGTTACACCACTGCCACGATTTTTCACGCACCAACAAATGAAATGATCGAAGAGAAAAATCACTTTTTACGCGTTTCTCGTTCCCTTTCCCTCTGTGTGCATTAGAATTCGCTGCTGCACCGCTCAGCCAGCTCCGCTTTATTTCCGTGTCGTTTCACTCGTGCTCGGTCACGATCGAGCAGTATCGTGTCAAGAAATATGACACACTTCTGTATACGTTACAGTGAAATTCTGTTTGTACGATTGCAATCTTAACCCGTTGATGGATTGCTTCTCCTTTCGACTCTTATTACCAAACTCTTCTCTTGTCGCTGAATAAAAATAGCGTAGAATGTTTGAATAGAAAATGAAGAAAATAAGAAACGAGCTATAATAATAGATGAAATTTTGGAAAATTCGTAAGTGAATTTGGGCTATATGCACACCTTGTAGAAACCATGATAAATTAAATCGAGTAAAGTCTAATCTATTTTCCATTAAATGGCACCGTATCGATGGTGGTTTATTATAGCTTGGATTTAAAATTGCAATTCAATCATAAAACAAGCTAAGCAATAAACTACCAATCATAATAGAACCACCACGATACGATCACCGTATCGCACAAGATTGGCGATTTCCAGTCGTTAAATTCGTAGTAAACCTCGCTTCGATCAATCACTGAGATTAACCAATGTTAAGATGGAAATGAATAAGTACCTGTTGAAAAGGAATATATCGATAATTGCGCAACGTGGAAATTTTCCAATATCTTTTAAACGTTATTTAATTCTTCTATGGAGATGATGGTAATGAAACGAAGAAGATAAGAAATGATCGTTTTCTAATATTCCTTGGAAAAACAGTAAACAATATAGTTCCACATGACAGAAAGTAACAGAATAAAAAAATAAAAAAATCACGCTCTTTATGTCGAGGGAAAAAAGGAACGAAGCAGAAATTGGCGATGGGAAAGACAAAAGAAAAAAAGGTGAACGACGTGTGTATCGTGGTCGATATCGACTGACTATATAATCGGCGGAATAATTACGTTCTCCCCTTAATAGGCGATCTTGAGAATCGATTTCTCTGATCGTGGGGAATCGACGATGAAATGTTGCCTTGTGACAGCTAACGATACGTCATTGGTTCTCGGCTTTCGAAAATCTGGAACACCGATCGTTGGTGAAATTTTCACGGATGGTCGATCTTGGTTGGTCAGTGAACTGCGACACGAGGAACTGATTTCTTTCTCCTTTGATTTCGCTAATTAAATCACTAGTTTACTCGAGAAAAAAAAAGAAACATATATCGATACGTTTAAAATTTGTTTATACGTATACGAGACATTTCGCATCGTGGGAATTATGTCAGTAAACATGAAAAATTGTGGTACACACACAGATTGAACTTGTAGCCAGAAATTTCGAAAAGAAAATTTCGTTAATAAAAAAAAGTAAAATGCTTGCATAAAATGAAAAAAAAAAAAACTAAATATTCATATGATTCTTAGTTTATAGAGTTAAACAATTTATGATATAAGTTTCACGTGAAGGGATTCAAGTAATGTATAGTAACCGACAAAGAATACGAGTGTGAAATCAAATGTCTACAACCACAATTCTCGTACGATTTGACATGGAACGATTTATACCAGTATACATATATTTATCAGTATTGCTCGACAGTGTACCAATCTAGAAATTTCTTGCTCCACGTGAAGTACGATAGATTCGAGTACAAAGCGATATTCGAGCAGTAGGCCACGCCTACTTGAGCAGCGATCCAGTGGTGGGGGAAGCTGTATGAAAGTAGTGGGGATGCCCCGCCCAAAAGTGGGATCTAAGGGTGGGGAAATATCGATGCTCAACAATCAATGTAACGTTTAAAATTATCAATTTAACTGCATCAGACTGTTAAAAGGTAAAATATAAAAGGTACATATTAATTTTTAGACTTCAATTTAGACTCTAATTTTTTCTAATTAGAGACTTTTCAAGAAACATTCAAAGGACGGTAAATTTTTATCTTTCGATACACAGAAATTTATATTAAATTTCTGAAACTTTTTAAGGATAAAAATACACGCATTTATTGAAATTATCTGCAGGTTTCCTCTCTCGATGATTATTAAAGAGTAATATTTGTAATTTTCTGTGAATTTCTGCTAACTCCGAAAGCTTTCTATACGAGAAATGGACAAACACCGATTGTTCCATAAGAGATAAAAGGAAAATGGGAAAGAATGAAAAACGCTTGTATGCAAATGTAACAAAGCCCACGGTCGCTTATCTCCTTTCGAAAGCATCCGTCCGTGGTTCTGTTTCTTAATCTGGGAACATCGCGTTAATTAGCTAAGCAAAGCGAATAATGAACCAGGTAAGAAAATATAACGTGGAACAATCGTGAACATAATAAAGCCTATGGCTTGGTTTACCGTCATTTATGTAGATAACAATAGAGTGAAAATATTATGAAAAAAAATCGTTTCTCTCGAGAGTGTAATTAGATTTTTAGTAGGCCACTAACTTCTCTTATCTCGAAACAATTCCGATTCCCTTTACATGTGCGTGTATGTAAGATTTTAATTAGACATAGTACATACTCCTAGGATATTTTGTAGACCATGTGTTGCAATATCTTTAAATCAGAATACGTACAGTAGAATTTGATATTTAATTTTTGAAAATAATATTTAACAATTTCACGACAAATCTGCAGTTTCGTTCAACTGGAAACAGTGAAATATCTCTCGAGGAATGGAAATTATAAAAAAAGAAATATTCTTACGAAAGTTTGTTGGTATAAATAATTTTTCTGCAGAGGAAAGATATGAAATTGAAGTTAATTTTTTTCAAATCGAACGCTATATTTTTCGATTCTCGATATTACGCCGTTTCTTGAGACGAACTCAACGAAGTGCCACGTTAGACTAATTAAACCAGGATGTTAGCATCGTTGTATTGAACTTTGTTACAAAAGAGAAAGAGAAAGATAACGATAAAGTCAAACGAACTGATTCTTTGAGCAGCACGCAACGTACATACTCATAAATCTGAACGTTTCCTTTGCGGTGACCGCATTTTTGTTAGTTTATCGACCTGAACAAGCACAACGAAGAAAATCGCCTTCGCAAAGCGAATTGAATCAGTTCGTAGTGTTCGAAATTGAGTAGAATATTTCAATGTTTAAATCGAACGTAATAGCAACAACAGATTCCACGGATCGGTAACAGATTTACTTTCTTTTCAGGTGGTGGCTAGCAGGACGACCTATTGGCTGTTGCTCGTCTGCTTGATCGTACTCTTCGCAGCCCTCGACAATGCAGAAGGTAATCGTTTAGCAAGGGAATCGCCGTATTCTAAGGATTATCGAGATAAAGTGGAGGAAAATTGAATCTGACGAATCGTTAACGGTAAATTGTCGATCGTTGGAATAAAATTTTTCGACGAAGAGACACATGGACAACTTTCGATAGATATCACGCGGGTTATCCAGATAAAGTGGAAGAAAATTGAATCTGACGAATCGTTAACGGTAAATTGTCGATCGTTCCGATGAAATTTTTGGGTGAAACGAAACATGGAAGGCGAATTAGCGCGATAACTTCCGGTAGATATCAAGTGATCTTCTCTAAGAATTCCCTTGAACGTGTCAGAATAGTCAGTTACACAAAAATTACTCATACGAATGCACAATATGTGTTTCATGAAATATACTAAATTTATTAGGCGTAGAAATGAATTTTTTCCGAGTGAATTCGCATAATTGATTCGAAGCCACCGAGTTTCTATCGCGATGGCGTCCGTAAGCTACCAGAAAAATGGCGAAAGGTCGTTGACAATTGTGGAAATTATTTCGATGACTGATCTGTTTTCATTGTTTTTTAAATAAAACGAAAGAAACGAAAAGAATTGATTTCTATACCTAATAATACTAATAAACAACCTAACACGAGAAATTCACGCGATGGAAAGACGTTCGAGTGTATTTAGATAAAATACGATTTTTCTAAAATTTAGTTTAAACAAAAAATCGAGATAATAACATAACGATGAGTATAAATTTTATTCAGCCTTATCAACAGTGGACCTTTCTCTTGCTTGAAATAGTTGTAGCGATACGAAAACTTATTTCTATAAACAACGGATATGAGCCTTTATGAGACTTTTTTCTTATGAGAAAAATGATTTCTCGTCACTTTTGACAAATCATTCGTCGCTTCTTTCTGCCATTTTTATTTTTCACATTAGAGGAGCGAAAAAGTCGATTTACGTATGTTAATTGGAAAATGAATTGGGAACAGGTACAAGGAAGAGATTTCGTAGGCCTGCAACCGCTGTTTCATCGTCCTCAAACGATCAGGAAGTCTCTGCTAGTGTGAATAGATTCAAGGTAACGCGAAATCGTATTAACAACAAGAACAAGAAGAATGAAATTCAGTCTGGAAAGTTGGAGGACTACAAGGTGGGTATAATAATCGCTGTTACGCGTACAATCGTGTAAAAAATTCTACACTTCCTTCGTTCAATTTACCATAATTTATTTAACGCTTTTCATATCGTACTGTGACATGTATTGAAAGAGAATTATTTGTATTCGCAGTTTGTACATAACAAAAGTTATATAATTAGTTATGATAAATGTTTTCCCAACTCTACATTTCATGAAACATTAGGAAATGGTTCTTGAAAATTTTCTCAGAAGAATTTTCTAAATTCTTAGAAACGAAGTACTATAAAGGATGTGGAAAGGTGTTTTGAAAAATGGTGCTGAAAACAAAGTGTACCATTCACTCCAAAAGTAGCGCTCTTGCTCCAGAAAAGTGTTCTTTAGACGCAACACGTTGCAAGAAAGCATTTACCGGTAAAAAGAGATATTAGTGTGTACATTCTCGAATTTCAAGAAGAGAAGGGAAAATAAACCTATGTTCCTTTTTATTGGCCATTTTTGTCACCATTTTTGTGACAAATCCTCGAAAACTGTCAACTAATTTGATAATGTTAGAATTTTGCAAATAGAAATCGCAATTGCAGAACCAACACATTCTAAAGGGGACTAAACTGAAGTCATTTGTTCCTGTGAATTCAAAATTCTTCTCTTTTAACTTAAAAACCTGTCTCAATTCACAAACAAACCATTTTTTCTATCATTGAGCTTCTACAATACCAAAATTATCGAGTTTATTTTTCAAAAGAAACACAAATATCGCACGTGTACATGTTAAAACAAAAATTGCGCAATTCTGATTTGTACAGCTTGTATGTTACTATACAAACTGGTCCCAATATCGCACGAAAATCGGAAAATTCATGCCCGAAGATATTCAACCTGACTTGTGCACACACATCGTGTTCGCGTTTGGCTGGTTGAAGAAGAACAAACTAACGAGCTTCGAGTCGAACGACGAAACGAAAGATGGGAAGATCGGATTGTACGAGAGAATTGGCTACGTGAAGAAAGCTAATCCCTCTGTGAAAATTCTACTCGCGATTGGTAAGCAATTTCAAAATATGTACATCACACTTACACTTTCTATTTCAACAAATTTTCATGCTATTTTTTATAGTTCTGTTAATCGTACAAATTATTTTACATTTCAACTGGGTACATTTTAAATAACGTTCCTGAAATTTTATCCAAAAAACATAGGTATTTTGAGAAAAGAAATATTTGACTTAAGATTATTTATTATAAATTTTGAAGAGTATACCAACTTTCACGATTATCCAAGAAATAAATTTGCAACTAATAATACTTCGAAAGAAGCACGAAATATCATAATTCGAAGGTATTTAATATTCATAAAAATGGCGCGTAAAACTTCAAACTATTTGAAAAAGAAATTCCGTAATAATACAGATAATAAGAAGTTTCGATTAATAATACACAAAATGACGAACTAAAAATTTTGAAAATGTCATACTTGGTAATTTCGATCAGGTGGTTGGTCGTTTGGTACTCAAAAATTCAAAGACGTGTCCTCGACGAGGTATGCGAGACAAACGTTCATCTACAGCTCCATATCCTATCTGAGAGATCGAAATTTCGATGGTCTCGACATCGATTGGGAGTATCCAAAGGGAGGAGACGATAAGAAGAACTATGTTCTCCTGTTGAAAGGTAAGTCTAAAACAACAACAAAAATTGTGTGTGTAATATTCCATAATAAAGAATATAAATCTTCTAATCCAATTATCACAATTTATTTTAATTAATTAATTTATTTTATACGCAGAGCTTCGAGAAGCTTTCGAAGCAGAAGCTCAAGAGAAGAAAATGCCGAGACTTCTTTTAACAGCCGCTGTACCAGTAGGTCCTGACAACGTTAAAAGCGGATACGATGTTCCAGCTGTTGCCAGGTAAACTAACAGCTAATATTTTCAGGATCTTAATTTTCAAGTACCGAGGCTATTTTAATTCTCATTGGCTGTTTAAATCGCATTCTGATTCGTAACACTGAACGTGGTTCAGAGATTTTTTGGACATCTTTAGGCGTCTACTCGACATTTTTTCAAACGTCTCAAAGTGCTATTTTTGGGCAGAATACGAAATTATGCGAAAGAATGAAAAATAATTTTTCATATTATTTTTTTAGCTATCTAGATTTCATCAACTTGATGGCGTACGATTTCCATGGTAAATGGGAGCGTGAAACTGGCCATAACGCGCCTCTTTACGCCTCGTCGTTAGATTCAGAATGGCAAAAACAATTAAGCGTGGACAACGCTGCCTCCATGTGGGTCCGTTTAGGCGCCCCTAAAGAAAAACTGATCATCGGCATGCCGACATACGGTCGATCCTTCACCCTTTCGAACGCCTCCAATTTCCGTGTCCATTCACCTGCCAGCGGAGGTGGCAAGGCCGGGGAGTACACCAAGGAATCCGGCTTTCTCGCCTATTACGAGGTATTTGCTACCTTCTGTCGCTTCTCATTTGACAAATTCATCATTATACTATTGTGTGAATACAGAATTGAAGAGTTATAAGCCTCCACTGAAGTTTCCTAAATAAAAAAAAAAATAAATTGAAGAGTTTCCATATAGACAAGTTAAAATTTCCCGAAAATAAAATATTTTTTCTTATGACCGAAATTTGAAATCCTTGGGCGCCCTGTGGTCACACTAATTCTACAATATATTCGTACTCAGCACGAAAAATTGAATAAACAGCGAATTGCTGATTACACAAGTACAATTAAAATGAAAAAAAAAAACCGTAAACGCTATTTTCCACATTTTTCACTAAACAGATCTGCGAGATGTTGCAAAACGGTGCAGCCTACGTCTGGGATGACGAAATGAAGGTACCATACATGGTGCTAAACGATCAATGGGTGGGCTTCGACGACGAGAAATCCATTCGAATGAAGATGGACTGGTTGAAGAACAAGGGTTACGGTGGTGCCATGGTATGGACTGTGGACATGGACGATTTCAACGGTACAGTTTGCGGTGGGAATGTCAGGTATCCCTTGATCGGGGCAATGAGGGAAGAATTGTTGGGAATATCGAGAGGACCGAATGCTAAGGACGTCGACTGGTGTGCCGTGGCTAGCACAGTTTCTGAAACGATCTTGAAGAAACCGGAACCTTACAAGATATTAGCGTCAGACGTTATTAACAAGGCGAAGAAACATCAGAAATCAGCAACGCAGCTTGTCATCAATCATCCGCCCAATGGTGAGTTCTCTTCTTTTATCTAGATCTTTCGGTTGCCAAATTAACGCGAAGAACCTTGGTTATTCTTATTTTTCTCCTGTTGAAGTACGTTTTTTAGAAATTTCTAAGAAATTATTTCAATTATTTATCTACTCTTATAGAAGACACTTTAGAGATAGATTTTTCATAGAAGATGAAAATTTACACATCAGAATGTAAATAATCTACGTTAATAATGTACTATGACATATTAATCCTTTCGTTTAAGAATGAATTATTCGACTTGTTCGATTCTTAGAGCCTCCAGAAACTTGCTTTTCCGTGAATTTAACGTATAACGCGAATAAGAAAGCTTGCAAAATTATTTTATTTTATTTTTTCAAAAATACTGATTTTTCATAATCATTTGTGCGTTCGTTTACAGAAAGGGCAGCTCAATCTATGTGCTATTTGACGAATTGGTCGCACAAAAGGCCAGGAGCTGGAAAATTCATGCCCGAGGACATCGATCCCTCCCTTTGCACTCACATAGTTTACTCATTTGCGACCTTAAAGAATTACCTACTCGCTGAAGAAAGCGAGAAGGATTCAGAGATGTACGAACGATTAAATGCTCTCCGCGACAAGAATCCGGATATCAAGGTACGTGTTGCTTAATTTACACGTAAAAAACACTACGAGCTTTTTCTTTCCATACAAAGGAACACTGAAATCGTGGTAAAATCGATCAAGTGATGATAATTCTTTATCGAAAAAATAAGTCAAAGCTGTTTCGCCTCGAATTTTATCAATTTTCACAATTCTACAGATATTATTGGCAATCGGTGGTTGGGCATTCGGGTCAACACCTTTCAAAGAACTGACCAGCAACACTTTCCGTATGAATCAGTTCGTCTACGAGGCGATCGATTTCCTCAGGGAATATAAATTCGACGGTTTGGACGTTGATTGGGAATATCCACGGTAAGAATGTATCTAGGATCTGATTCTAGGATCTGTTATTTTATCAATGACAATTCTTTTTTCTTTTTTTTTTTTTTTTTTTTTTTGGGTGATTAAGGTCCCATGCACCTTCTGAGGTTATTAGTGACCACAGTAAGTTTATTCAGTGGTGCAGTCTATAGTAGGTGGTATAAACCAATATCTTTCAAAAAGTTTATAGCTCTTTTACTTGAATCTTCTTTTTGAAGCATGGTCAGTGAATTCGGCAAGTTATGTTGGATACTTTTCATATTGTACTTTGGGCAGGTTATCAGGATGTGATCGATGGAGTTTTGTATCCTGCAGATATCACAGTTGTTTGGTTCCTTTTTGGTGATGAGATGGGAGTGTGACCAGCTTGTGTGACCTATTCTTATTCTTGTTAGCTTTACTTGATCTTTCCTGTCCAGTAGCCAAACCGGGTTGGCATCGTTTATACTGTTTCTGATTGTGTGTAGTTTAGAATGACAATTCTTTCTTCTCTTTTTTTTATCGAAATTCAACGCGTCAGAGGTGGAGACGATCGATCAGCCTACGTGAACCTTCTGAAGGAGCTGCGACTCGCTTTCGAAGGGGAAGCAAACAGTTCTAAACAACCGAAATTAATTTTGTCTGCTGCTGTGCCTGCTAGTTTCGAAGCTATCGCTGCGGGGTAAATTTTCCGAGTTATTTTAATTCGTTAATTGAACATTTAACAAAGGTCTCGAAAGAAGAAGAATATTACTGGTCACTGTACAATAAGTTTTTATGAAAAATAATTTGAAATGTTGATCTTTTTCTTTCGTTTGACGGAACAGAAAACTAAAATTAATAATTTTATGAAAAATCCAAGTGTCCATTCTTAGAAATATGAGAAATAATAATAGCTACAGATAAATTTTCTTTAGTTTCCCTTTATTTTGAACGACTTTGATTAAATAATCATATTAATTAATCAGAGAATTTGTGTGTAACGTGTGATTAACCTCAGATACGACGTGCCTGAAATATCCAAGTATCTGGACTTCATTAACATCATGACATACGATTTCCATGGCCAATGGGAAAGACAAGTCGGCCATAACAGTCCTCTGTTTCCCTTGGAGAGTACCACGAGCTACCAGAAGAAACTGACAGTGGTAGGTTTAGAATTGCAACAAAAATTACGTTCTCCTTGAATTTCAAGCATTTCGAAATATACTTTTATGAATATCAGCATTTCTTTGGCAAACCCAATAATTTCGTGAAAAATATAAAACTTAACATCCAAACTCGCATACTTAAAAAAGAAAAGTATGGAATTTTGAATGTTTCGATTTTGCAAATGTTGTCTTCTGAAAATCAGCGACTTTTACGATTTGACACGGATAAAAATATTGATGATATTGAGAAATATTGAGAAATACGACACGAATAAAAATATTTGATTAGAAGGCATGAAGAATTAGAAGAAACATACACTGAAGAATTAGTTTTTACAAGTATTAACTTTCGCTTGCACAATTGCAGGACTACAGCGCAAGAGAATGGGTGAAACAAGGTGCTCCAAAGGAGAAGTTAATGATCGGTATGCCAACTTACGGCAGATCGTTCACATTAGTGGATAAAGAGAAGTTTGACATCGGTGCACCGGCTTCAGGAGGAGGAGTAGCTGGCAACTTCACTAACGAAGCTGGATTCCTTTCCTACTACGAAGTAGTATAATTTATTACAGACTGATTTCTTCTCAAGTGTAACATATTAACGAATGTATCGAATAAATGCGCAGATCTGTAGTTTCCTCAATGAAGATAACACTACACTAGTCTGGGACAGCGAACAGCAAGTGCCTTTCGCGTACAGAGGCGATCAATGGGTTGGATTTGACGACGAGAGAAGCCTTATAAATAAGGTAAAGATAAATATCTCTAATATTTTTTCAACTTCCAATTTCTCACCAAGTAATTTTCGAATAAACAATTGTGAGAATTCTATTAATATTGATACTGTCTAAGTCAATT